GTTGCTATAGTGAGCCATCTGTATTTTTCAGATCTGTCAGTAATTCAGGTGAGCAGCTTTAGGGTTGCAGATGGTGACAAGACTGCTATCCCCATTGGATCTGTTTTCATTTATACTTTGCAAACAAACATGGACTTAACTCTTGTTAAATTGCAATTATTCAGTGTAACGCATGCTTCTGGAAGTTTACACTGAAAGTAGGGCAGTGTGTGAAGTAATCAGCTTTTGTTTACCATTTCAATTCCATACAGATTCATATTTGTATTGCAATTCTGCACACTCTCGGCTTTGTCTGTTTTTTGTGGTTGTGTGCTTTTGAACCAGTATTGCATAGTTATGCCCCCTCTTTTCTCAGCTAGACACACACACTTGGACCAGGTTAACATATGAAACATGTTTCGTTATGTATGATACAAATATTATTGCATTTTATTTTAGATTATATCCAGAGTATACACATTTATTAGACATGATCTTATAGGTTAAATATTTTTCCCCCATACATATACATGCTTTTGTAATTGTTTTGGTCGAATGGTGTTTTGGGTTTCTGACTTTTTTTTAAATGGTATTATTACTTTTAGTCACTATCTATTGTAATACAATACAGAAAACCTGCTGCTTGAACTTTATAGAGACTGAACACAGTTTTACCTTTTAAAACGTTCAAAAGTAATAGTACCACTTAAGAGCAGACAATTTAAGACCTGAAGCCTGAATCCCAATGTGGAGTTTTTGAATGTGGAATGTGGAGTTTTTGAAGTATAGGTAATGTGTGGCATTTTTCCGCAAGACTTTTACGCTTAAAAGCTTCTAATAATTGCTGATAGATTAACTTGGAGCTTTGCTAACCCTTGTGACTCATTCCAACTCATCTCAGACAAAAAAACTTCAGATGTCTGCTCAAAAGTAACCATAGATTTGGCCTAAATAACAAAATTTGCTGTTGAGTTGGGAAGAGCTTGAAGAGCATCCCAGCCTTATTTTATGTTGCGTTTTAAAAAAAAAACACACAATGTTTAAACTACAACTTTCTAATTAAAGTGTGCAGACATTTCCATTTTGCAATGTAGTCCGTAAATCAGAACCTTGAGGCCTTGTTCACACCAAATGCAGAGTAGATCTGCATGAGTTTCTGCACATGCAGTGCAGTGGGTTCTGCCGCGTTTTTGATGCGTTCCGGGCCGTCTTTGGTGAAAAAAAATAATATATTTTTTTTAGTTTAAAATGGGCTTTCAGTACGTTCCAGGCATTTGCATGCGTTTTTGATGTGTTTGCATGCGTTCCACAGCAGGTTTAGAGCCGGTAAAATAGGGCCTGCTGCAGTTTTTTTTTACCTGCTCTGGAGCTACTCTGGAACTGAACGCTGCAATGTAAACTGGAGCTAAAAATACAATTGGAATACATTGGACGCAGTTTTGAACCGGTCTGTAACTGCTCTGCTCCTGGAACGCGCTTGGTGTGAACAAGACCTAAGAGTATGCATGATAAGACCACAACTGCCTAGGGACCTGATTTGCAAGCCATATATCGAATGCACAAACTTTGCAAAAGCCATTTAACCGATTGAGTGTTGCTTGATCTAAGGTATCATGATGATCATGAGGTCATTCTGCCAGTTATCGCTGCATACATTTTTCTAAAGCTGCAAAAGTCAGTTTACTGATTTAGCATTACTTGATCTAAAGTAGCTTGATGGTCATGAGGTCTTTCTACCAGTTATCTCTCAAAATGAAGCCAGAATAAAATTCAGCTTGGGACTTTCTGCCTACCTATATGCAAACACAGTGTAAATGCTTAAGAGGGGACTCTTACAGTGAGAATATAGCATCATAAAAAAACATTTGAATCAGTGCCTGAACTTTATCTTTTAACTAGCGAAGGGCTTTAGCCATACCTTATGCAGGACCGGATTCCCCACGGCCAAGGCCACTGAGGCCCGGCCTCGGGGCGGCAGCAGTGTGGAGTCCCCCGACGCCCGGAACATGTAGTTCCGGGCGGTAAGTTGCTTTCTACATTTAGTCCTGCTTTGGGAAGGCAGGACTAAATGTAGAAGGTTGGGTGGGAAGGGGGCGCATTGTGGAACCTGGCCTTGGGGCAGCAGGAAGAGTAAATCCAGCCCTGACCTTATGCTTCCTAGAGGCCTTCCCTGTCAGGTGCACATTCAAACTGTAGCTGTCCAGACTTTCTGGCAGTTTAAAATTTGTAGAAGAACTAATGTCTAACACTGATTCCTATGGTGTTACAAGCACCCATGCTTATTAAAATCATAGATTGATACAACGTAGTAGCTATACCTGTTCACTAGTCACAGCATATCTATTTTTACAGTCTAAAACCTAAAAAGTAGAAAAGGCAAGTCTACAAAATCTGATTAACCCCTTGTTTTCTCTATCACTAAACAACTAATTTGTCTCACTGCTTATCTTTGCATGACTTTGTTGTTTGTAAGGAAATGTTTGTGTTTTTATCTGTAATTTCTTTTTTTATATATAAATATAAAATAAAGCACATGCCCAAAGTATAAAAAAAATCTTTATTTAATTTTCTAAATAATTTATTGTTGAGTGAGACAATGTGTTACTTAAATGTAGGTAGGTAAATGTATCAAAATTGGGGAAAAAATCACTTCAGGAGGCATTATAAGGCAGATGTATGAACTTAGAGGGTCACTGAACTCTGCTTTGCTCAATTCACTAAGTTCTACACATGTTTTATATACCATAATAGTTGTTCTCAGCTATGTGGCTGTTGTTTCCAGCTCTCATTGCTGAAACTAACAGTTATAAGACATAACAATAATTACAACTTAATGAATCGAGCTTGTTGTCTTCTAATAATGCTATAAACCACTGCAGATGATACATTCTCCCCTTTATAGTTTTTGTAGTTTAATATCACAGTATGCACTCTTCTTTATAGACTACTGCCATATGTATATTGTGTTGATGGCTATGTGAATCTTTTTCTGATATATAAAGCTAAACCTCTGGCAAACTGCTAAATGCATGAATAAAATACATATATGAGAGCTGATTAACCCTGTCAAGGGGTTTGCATGTCTTTCCATTTTACTCATGTGATTCACAGGGCCCTACCACACAGCACTGCCAGCCTGGAGACCAGCCATTTCTGTTCTACAGTTATGTAATACAACTAGGTTTTGTCCCTGTGATTTACCTTGGTTAGACCATGAAGGAGAAGCAACACACTGATGAGCCCATCTCTTTGTCACTCTGTATTCTCCTGTTAGCATGTTCCTTGTTAGCACATGACCAATACAGCACAACTGATTGCCCCGTCCCCTCTCCCAGTCTAAGTTCTTCTGTAGATGGTACTGCAAAATTCTAATAAATCCGATTGAGGTACTTACACATGTTTACGCAGAATCTGTACAAAAATGTTTGCTAATACTCTATATACTGAGCAACTGTATTGTAAAGGCCCATCTACATGAATGTCCATTATTGTGTTAAATGGACATCTGTTATGAAAAAGTATGTGGGTTGCCATTGCTGACACCTCCCATCAGAAAATTCTAGTTGCCTGGCAGTTTTTGGCCTCAATGCTTTCCTTAGTCATTAAACCAGCAAGTATGCAGCAAACAAAGTAAGGGTTTTTTTATTTACACAATTGTTTCAGGCCAGAGATTCGAAATGTATTGATGCCAGGGGGTGTAGCTTGAAAGCAAGGTAACTAGTATTTTTAGGAGGTCAGCTATGGCAGCCTTTGAATTGGTTTTATCACTGGCACTCCAGTGATGCAGTTAGGCTTACTAGAAGACAAAATGAATAGTAAAGGGAATACATAAACTTTGAAACTTCACAGTGGATTACCATCCAGTGGTACATTGGAGATAAGCGAAAGTGCATCTCTAATATAATGACATTTAATAGTATGGCAATTATGCTGCATAAATCCTAAATTTGAATGAGTTGCCACTCTTATGTGGCTGCTTGCACTACATTGGGATGAAAGAATGTTGCAGGGGAGTGTGGCTGTCTGCATTGGAAAGTGGAAAGGTGACACTAGGGGTCTTTTGGTACCTGTCACCACCATTATGCAATCAGATGGGGGCTTGTACACCCCCCTCTGTGTTAGCCATTAAAGTAAAAAAAGTTTTGAAAATAATATAAAATAAACGTAAAAATAATAATGTTAAAGTCCCCTGCCCACCCGCGAGCACGTGCATGTTCATGTAAACATGCGTTGGGCACACCTACGAACGAAAACGTCAATCGCACTACACATGTTGGGTATCGACCCGCACTCCAGAGTGAGAGCAATAATTCTCAAGCCAATATTTATGCTTATCTCTAAAGTGATGACCTGTAGGCTCTATCTTAAAGTGCTGTCTGTGGCCTTTTGGGGGGTACTGAATTTTGTTGCCGTTTCACAGACGCACATGATTTTTAACCTGGGCATGTTGGGTATCTATTTACTCGCTGTAACCTCATCTTTAATATTGTACAAAAAAATGGGTATCATATTGTGTTTTGGGGCACTAAATTTAACATAAGTGCATTTGTTTTCTAAATTTGTGGGTCTGATAAAGAGTTGTGCTAACATCGTGCAACTTACAAATTTGCAACTCCCGCCATTTAATTCTACAGGATTCTGGCTTTCAGAAAATATGTTTGGGGGTTTCAAGTAATTTTCAGGCCTAAAATGTGGATCATATGTGCAGAAAATTTAAAAAAGGTCTTGGCAGTGAAAGGGTCCTTAAAGGGTTAATATCACTTTAATGAATGCCAAGAAACTGACTTTACAGTAAGTACAAAAATACTGTATTTTGTTTACTTTTCAGGCTTGTGCATCAGCAATACAAAAGCCTTTAGTTTGTGATCCTTCTGTTTACAACATATTTGAAATACAGTATATATACATAAAAATGTGAGTTTATATTGTGATCTGCTTTGTACAACTAACCTAATCTGTATACAGAAAGCCTAGCTGGGTTCACCGATGATAAAAACTTTTTGTAATCTTTCTTCTTACAGATCATTGTACGATAACTCGAACATACTTGTTTCTGCACAAGTTTTGGTTCTTCAGCGCTGTCTATTACTTTGGAAACTGGATATTCATTGGGGTAAATACTATCTAAATATTTATAGAATCTGCTGTACCCTCCCTGCATATACAGTATATGTAGTGCCAGTTTTGCCATCATATAAATCCTGGGCTTTGTATTATTGCACAAAGCCAGGAAGAAAACTAAGTTGTTTAATTCCATCATTTGTGCATTGTTTGGCCTAGGAATTATTTGATTGGTAAGACTCTCAATGAAACCATTACATATAGTGCTTTTAATATGCTCAAGTTCATGTTAGTGACCAGTTAATTACATGATTTGCTAAAGCATACACTGTATAGTCACAAAAGTCAATGGATAAAGGACAAGGTAATCAATTCCATTAACCCCCTCCCCGCTAAACTACTCTAGCCTAAAATATCCCTCTGCAGGTGGTTGTATACCTCCTCTGGTTGGTAGCTTCCCGCATTGTCTGCATTCCAGTGGGTAAAAATGTATTGCTCGATCTGCACACTAACATCCCCTAGATTGCTGTGTCAGGCGCCACACCAGAGCGCCTGACACAGCAATGCCCCCGTTCCGGTCCAGTGCGATCACAAAAAATATTGCTTTTATTATTTTTTGTGATCGCACTGGACAAGAACATAAGCATTTCTGTGCCACATGTTCTGGTGCAGGCAATCGCACCACAGGAAGCCGGACAGTGTGCGTTCCAAAAGCTAACCGTGCTGGAACACACTGGAATTGGTGTGAACAAGCCCCGAGTCTAAAGTAGCACGGGCCGCACAGGGCTAGCTTTTTACTGCATAGGATGTAGACAGTGTAGAAGGGCACTGCCATTGAAGGAAATAAGTAAGGAGATAAGTAAACATCTACGGGGAATGTTTCAGTTTAGGTTGACCAGGGGGGAGCTTGGGAGGGTTTATATCATTAGTGAACTTGTCCTTTAAAGCAGAACTCCTGGCAGAGAGCTAAATACACTATTTAGATATATTGGTTTACTATTTTACCAAACGATTTTAGTTCTGCTTACCAGTTTTTAAATTCACACACATCTGTCACAATGCACAATTAGGTATTTGCCACACTTTGTTTCCTAGTTCAGTGATGCAACTTCCCATTACACCTCTACAGTCTGTTTACTCGACAGTCAATGATCAATATCACCTCTGCTCATTGAGCATGAAGGTGATCTAGAATTCAATAAAGCTGAACCAAGAATTAACACAATGATCTATCTGTCAGTGTAATATGGCAGAGATGTGTAAATCACAAGGCTGCCCAGAACTACACATCATTTGGCAGGTAAAATGGTAAACTAAACACAGTGGGCAGGATTTATCAAAATCTGGAGCAGTTGCCCATGGCAATCAGCTTCTCTCTTCAGTTTGTTCAGTTAAGCTTTGAGAATGAAAGATGGAAGCTGATTGATTGTTATGCACAGCTGCTGCAGATTTGGTCTGCTCCTGTTTTAATAAAAAACCCTTTGGTGTGTTTATCTATTTACCTGGACTTGCACTCTAATTTATTGCACTGTGTTTGGCGTTAAAAGTGCTTTTATTTTTCTGTTTTTTTAAACTGAAAAATATCGGTGTTGACTTAATTTTCCTAATCCACACAAGGGTAAGGAATACAGTTATCGGAGTGGTTTCTACAAGCAAAATAACTTTCTTTGTTTTGCACTAACTTTGTAATTAAAGTGTACCAGCAGCTACTTAAATCCTAAAAAAAATAATAATTCACTGGAATTTATATTAGGCAACTACATCTTCCAGTTTCTGCCAGAGTTACCCAGCAGCCTGGAAACCTAAATACAAATATATGCGGACCAAGAATTATTTGCTTTGTTATTGATTAGTGAGCCTTCCCATCACTCAAGAGGCAAGAGGGGGCAGTTGTAGTTGAACTTGAAATGCACATAATAATGCCACCTGGGGTTTAGGACAACCAAGGTACTCTGGAAAAAATATGTGATGCATGTAGGCACACGTACTTGCTTGCTGTAAAGCCCAGATTTTATGACTTAAGACGCTCTACAGCTTTGCTTTACGGATCTCAGCCAGAAAAGAAAAACTATATTTAGCAGTTTTAAACTGTGTTTCTTTAATATTCTTATTCATTCTGATTACAGATTTTCATTATTGGACTGATTGTATCCTGTTGCAAAGGAAAGAAATCTGTTATTGAAGGAGAAGTAGAGGATGATGACTCAGACTTAAGTGATGATGATCTTCCATATGCATAGATCTAAAATTTGCATTCATCTCTGGGAAGGATACAACAGATGTAATTTTCATTTATGGTTGTGGTTTGTTTAAAAAAAGGATTAATTGTTCTGTAAATATAATTAACTTTAAGTGATTTGGAAAAAAATATCTAATTATTATATGTAACAATAAAAATGTTGAAGATCTCTCCTATGCACTGAATTTTGAAATGAACAACCCTTTGCCTATATTTAAACTAATCAAGCAAAATCTCATTTACCACTGCCCCATGTGGCATGCTGCTTAAACCCAGATTGCACGTAACCTTTTAATGATGTCATAAATAACCCTGTTGCTGTACATGGAATGTATTATTGCAACTTGAACTTTTCTTTGGTGCTATTTCTACTTAAAAGGGAGATTTAGTAAACATTCACGGATTTTATTAAACTTCAAATACATTTTCAGATGTCTGTTTTTTGGGGGTTTTTTTGTTTTTCTTTTCAGTTGCCCTTGCTATTTTTAATGCTGTTGTAAGCTCTGTATTGCTCTCACTCTCATGTCAGCTAACTCTAGCAATCCCTAGATAGCAGCAGAGAGAACTCTATGTAAAAATCAAGGTCATTCTCAAAAGGATGATACCCATGAGGTTTGCCTGAATAGTGACATCATCCCTCTTTATCCAATTGGCTGGATTTATTTATTTTTTTTGCCTTACCGCACAGCCATAAGAAAAAAATAATTCAGCAAATTGGAAAGGACTATGTGATTTTGTATCTGAAGGAAAAGTTAATTCCTGTGGAGTTTTCATAGATGCTGTCTAGGTATTGCTAGAGAGCTGTGAAATTAGAAATGGCTTACAACAAGTGCTGTGAACAGGTATTGTTAGATGGGATAACATAAGGCAGCGGCGGGGCACATTATCTCTAAGCTGTTTTAAAAAGAAAAAAAAAAGGCTTATTGGTCTGACAAAACTACACTAAGGTGGGAGCACAAAGAGAGAGATGAGTCCGTTAATGGTGGACTAGCAAATGTAACTATGTTTAGTCAACTCGATTTGAATGTGCCTGCACCATTTGCTCAATCATTAGTGGATCAGGCAAATCTTTAGTATCGCTTACCAGTATTAATCTGTACCAATGTGGAAACTTCCATTCCTCTGCTGTTTGCAAAAACAGGCGTACATATTGTAAGTGGGTCAGCAAATGCATATTAGCTTATAAACTAATAGATTTGCATGCCTATCTGTGCAGAGGTAATTCTAATTGGTTTATAAGGAAATTTATGAAATTTGTCCCTCTTTTAGCCGAGTATTTAGAGCTGTTTCTTCACTCTTCTCTTGTTAATATCAAAATTCTCCAAAAATGTATGGTCATGTACTTCTTCATTATACCTTCCAAATACTCACTCTCCAAGACATTTTAACTGCAGCACTGCCCAGGTATTAATAGTGTTGGATGGATCCCTTGCATTTCTAGTGAGAATCAAGTGGATGACCAGCTTACCTCATCCCCTTGTGTGCCTCCAACTGTTTAGTTTGTCAAGGGTGTACACATTTCAACACTGGTTTATTTTAAATAAACCAGCATTTTGCATGTGTAATGTATGTTGAAACTTTCTGAATTTCTTTGTTGCTAATAAAATTATATGCCTTGAATAAAACATGTGTTCAGTTTGCCTTTGTTCAACAGAAAAGCCACTACAGCCAACTCATATCCTTAAGGTAATGGGTGCAAATGTGTATTAAACTTTCTTGTTTGAGTATTGTTATCATCAGTAACTCACTCATACCATATCTAACATGCATCACTCTATACATGGATTAGGAGGGTACAGTAAACATGGTAACAACAATATGGCTTCAGTTTCTATTGGCTAAAGTTTAAAGAGGTTTTGTTTTTTATCCCCACGCAGTTGAATCTAGAACCGGTTGAGAAAAAAACCTCAGCTATTGGTTAGGGTTAGGCCATTGGTATTTTAAAAAATAATGGCCACACAGGTTTTTTTTATTAGACTGGAACAATTTTAATCCTGACGATACTGCAATAGTACATTGCATAAAGTATTTGTGATATAAATTGAAGCACCCTGATCCTCTCTTGGCCATGCTTCTTTATTCTGTGACTGTTTCTGCACAGGATCTGTTGCCTTGTTATATCTCAATGGTCCACATGATCATATCTGGCAGATCATATTGCATATACTTAAAGAAGAACTCTGGGGAAAAAACATTTTTTTCAGCCTATTTTAACTAGCTTTTGGAAGTATAAAAAATATGTGCTTTCCTTTCTGCATCGTATTGTAGTCTTCTAGAAATCCATGGTACAAGCTTGTGCTTCCTGCCCTCTACCTCCTTCATTTAGTTTCTGTTAGACCGCTCGCCATTGTGCAGTTTATTAGCTTAGCCAATGGTCTAATAACCTCACCCTGTAGTTCTATTGCAGCCTGCACACAATGCAGTGGGTGGATTAGGGAAGTCTTAGACTGCTGGCATACCTCTTTCCCTTAGACTGGGCGGTACTGTAACTTTGTGTTAAACATGCTACTGTTCTGCACTGGTGATTGGAAGTTTGGATCTTTTGTATGAATCAGGTTCATTTCGAACTGTTCATTCAAATGAACCCATTCATGAATATATTCATTGGTTCACTTGCTGAGTGACTATAGTTGTTAGGATGTAATGGCCAGATCAATCTGTTTTTTTCTGTTTGTTTTTTTAAGAAAAAATACTTACTGTTTATAGCGCTCTTATTCACATATAATATTTAAAATGTACCTGACTGAAAGAAAATATATTTTAAAATGTCTGTTCTGAAAGATGTATGCTAACGACTATACATTCTATATATTATTCTTTATATGAAGACAGAATGACAATTACAGTTATTTACATAGTGCCAGCATATTCCGCAGTGCTGTACAATCATTTAGACAAGACAAGTAAGAAACACTGACAAGCATAATTGACATATAGAAACAGTAGGTTAGGAGGACCCTGCCCAAACGAGCTTACAATCTAAGAGAAAAGGGACCAAAGAGACAGTGGGGGGGGGGTGGGGGGACACGACAAAAACTTTGCTGTGGTCTGGGCTCTTCAGAAACTAACTGACGTCACTTAAAAAAAGCTGTTTTCCTTTAGTTTTCTAAAACCTTTATACTTTTATAAAATGTAAATTTTAGTACCATTTATTTTATATAACTGTTGAACTGTATATAAACTGTTAAACTGTTATAACACTAAACTATCCATATAATATCTCCTTTAATACCATATTGCTTCTGTGAACAATTAAAGCTTCCTTCTCTGTGTTTTTTTTATGTTACAAACTCTTTCATCAGACTTCAATATAAAATGTCCCTATGTGTAAAAATATTCACAAGATTTATGGCTAATCCTGATCGCCCTAGATATTCTACTGCATATGTTTGTGTGTTCCCAGAAGGATAGACTTTCTCCAGAGAATCTTATTTATTCTAAAACTCATGCTGGATTTTGTTGCACGGACACTTATTTTGTGTTTTATTTTAAATGGTACTCTATTTTAAAATGGTACATATACAACATGCATGCTGGATGTACATGATGTTAAACTATTTAAATCAAAATCTGATTTATTATAGTGAGCACAACAAATAAAAATTCTGTTTGTAAATGTAACCAGCATTGTTAAAAATTTAGTTGCGAAAACAAAAACAGGCAACTGCATCCTACACGTGTACATTGTGTAGAACAATAAAGAATCAGAAGTAATCTTACAGTTCACCATCTCTTAAAGTGTATGTAAACTCTAATAATTAATTTCCCCAATTTCTCCCTTTTGGTCTGTTCATTATACTATTGAAAGCAATTTGTTTTAACTATTCAATAAGTGCAGACATTTCCTGCCAATTTTGTGAGGTGATGACTTCCTCTGTTCTCTGCTGAGTTTTATCGTTTCTCTTTGAACTACATCACAACACATAATGGAGAATAGGAGAGGAAGGGTGTAATTTTGTCCCAAACCTCTTTTTATTTTAAGGTGACATTGCAGCGCCTCCATGAATACAGAACATTGAGGGAGTGTTGACAGAAAGTTTATTACATTACAAAACACCTGCAAAGTCCAAGCACACCTGCCAGCTAGCCTGCAACAAAACAAGTTACCCTGTCAACAGTATGCGTTAAAAACAGAGGGTTTTAGTTGTATAAACCTTTGGCCAAAAATATGTAGAAGCCACACTGCCCTCTCAAGGCTCCTCTGTGAAGTGTGGTCCTAACTCTATGAGTCTCCATGTTGGAGCATATTAATGCAGTCGATAAATGGAGGTGTACCTGGAGGTAGCCTACTCCTCCTCAAAAGGTGCAGGGATGCACTGGAGGCCCAGCAATCCAAAATGCACGCTGGGGCCCTCAGTGCATTTTGGAGTATATTACATGCAGGCTTACCTGCTAAAAATGAAAAAAAAAACTAAAGCAGCCCACACATTTAAGGAACTCTTGGATTCACATTTTGGATTTACTGTTTTTTTTTTTAATTGAAACAATCCCTTTCATGTTGAGCTCGGGCAGCTGAGGTCTGCCTGAGGTCAATATTAGTAATGCCCAAAAATTAGGCTTCTATCAGTGGAGGAGCAGGTAAGCTGGAAAGCAAGGAGTAAACAAGGGATTTTCTTTCACATTTCAATAGAGGTTCATTGGTGAGGCTAATACAGGCATTTAGACATTAATGTATGGACCTGTATTTCATTTTTTTTAATGTTTATTCTTTGAGTCATCTTTTTAGAAGAAACTGCTGTTAGCTTTATTTGTCCCTTTCTGAAACTGATATATGTACAGAGTTTCTGCTTTATTTTTCCCTTTCTTAAAAAACTGATATATGTACAGGGAGGTTCTGCCTACGTTATAACTACCTGAACAAGCTCAGTGTTTTAATAACTAATGCTGCAGTCTCCCTTTAGGCAAAGATTAGGCAGAAAGTTAAACCTTCAAAAGTTAAATGGAAACTAAAATGTCTATTGCCAGGGTTCCCTGTAATTTTAATGGCTTATCAGTGCAGACATCTGGGGGAGTTCCCACAGATAACCA